CAGCCGCTGCGCACACACCGGAAATGAGAGCGGCACTTCCGCATTCGGGCCTTTATTTCCTACGGCGCGGGCGGCGGCCAAAAATCTCCCGATGGCGGTGGCGATGATGGCGGTGGCGATGGCGGCCGAGGCTCAGGCCGCAGGACGGGCGGCGGAGGCCGCGGAGCGGATCCCGGGCACCTCCAGCCTCCCGGAGCCAGCCGGGCACGGGGAGCAGCCCGGGCTGCTTGCCGTTCCCGAGCCTCGGGATCTCCCCGTTCCTCCGCAGCCCTGCTCCCGGGGGATGCTGGTGCCCGGGTAGGGCTGTAATGGAGCGGTTTTACCACAAGAGAGAGCTTCAACCCCGCCGAAAGCCCCAAAACCATTCAAACCACCCCAAAACCATTCAAACCACCCCAAAACCATTCAAACCACCCCAAAAACCCGGGCAGAATCCTTGGGGATGGGTGGCGAGGGGCAGGAACGCCATCCTGTCGCTGTCCCCATCCCTAAGGCGGATTTTGGGGTGCTCCCCAGGGATGCTGGATGGGGTCACCACCCCCAGGAGCTCCCAGTATCACCCCAATCCCAGTTACTGGGGTGAAACCCGCAGCTGCCAGCCCAGGGCTCCCACCCAGGAGATGATTTTAGGGTGGGATCCTTCTCCCCCGCCACCAAACGAGCTTTTTAATTGTTTGATTTACTTATCTCCTCTCTGATGGGCTGATCTACTCCGCTGCCTTTTAATTGCTCCCAAACTCGAGCGGTTTTTCATGTTTTAAGAAATGCTGAATGGTGTAATTAAACCCCTGGCAGCGTAAATCAGCGGCGCGGGAGGACGACAGCCCCGAATTAAAGCTTTTGGCATAACAATAAAACTAAACTGGCATGAAAAGTGCCCGTTTTGGCACCAGCGCTGAATGCTGATGCCGAGGGGGGCTGAGGCACCGTCCAGGCACCCCAAAATCCCCGGGGTTTTGTGGGATCGTGGAATGATTCGGGTTGGGAGGGAGATTAAGGCTCTCCCTGTTCCTTCCACATCCCTGGAAGTGTCCAAGGCTGGGTTGGACGTTTTGGAGCAGCCTGGGATAGTGAAAAGTGTGGGGGTGGAATGGGATGAGTTTAGGGTCTCTTCCCACCCAAACCATTCCATGACTTCATGATCCCTTCATTTGTGCCATTAATGAAGATATGGAATAACACAGGTCCCAGTGAGGACCCTGAGGGTCCCCGACGTCCATCAGGACTCTGAGCCATCGACCAGGACCCTCTGGATGGGGACATTCCAACCAATTCCTTATCCATCCACAATCCAGCCATTTGTCTCCCAAAACTGCCTCACCATGGGAGCAGGGGAAGGGGCTGGGTGTGGGGTGCCCCCTCCCCTGCACCCCTGGAGCAGCGTCATTCCCACCCTTCCCAGGGAAAGGAATCGCTTTTCCTTTATTAATAATATTTAAAGCCGAGTGGGTGCCTAAATCAACAAAAATAATTCATGAGAGTCATTAGCTCCTCAAAGCCAGGCTCTTTTTACGACCGACTTTAAATTAAAAAAAAAAAATAAATTAAAAAAAAAAATTTAAAAAATCCCAACCCCAAACCCCACCACGTTCAGAATCCGCAGCTTTTCCAAGACATCAAATGCGTTTCCTGCCGCCTCCCCCCCGGCCCGGCTCCACCGCCAGAGGAAATTCAATTAACGGCCTTAATTCACCCTCCGACTGCCAGTTTTAGATTAAAAAAATCCTTCGGATTCTGCTCAGGAAGCGCCGTGAAAGGATCGGGGGGGAGGGTTTGAACCTCGTGGTTTGGGGGTGCTGTGAAGCCCCTTGGTGTGGGGTTTGGTGGACAGGTCAGTGAGGACCCTCCCTCTTCCTCCTCCTCCTCCTCCTCCTCCTCCTCCTCCTCTTCTCCAGCATCTCCAAAGGCTCCGGGAGCTGCGAGTGCATGGAGTCACATGGAGGAAAAATGAGATTCCAAATGCACCCCGAGGTTTCCCATCATCCCAACGCCCCTCTCCCGGCACCTGCGGCTGCTGCTGTCCCCTCTTGGGGACCTGGTGGCACAGCTTTGGGGTCAACAATTTTTATTGGGTTTTTTTTTGGTTCTGCTCCATCCCCGGATCCCGGGGCAGACAGAGACGGACGGAGAGGAAGCTCCGGAACCCCCCGTGGGTCAATTATCTGTAATTAACCTGTCCTTAATGGAGCTGCAAACAAGAGGAACCTCGGCAGGGCTTTGGGGCTGGGATGGCACCGGTGGGACAGTGAGGGGGGTCCCTGTGGCAGCTGCCGGCGCCCCCCACCCAGCGAGGTCACAGGAGAGCCAGGGAGCAGGGAAAGGGGGGAAAGGGGGGAAAGGCCAGGCTGGATGTGACTTGGAGCAACCTGGGACAGTGGGAGGTGTCCCACAGCAAGGGATGGAGCTGGGTGAGCTTTGAGGTTCTTCCAGCCCAAACCATCCCATGATTCTGCTCTCTGTTTCGGGGTCCCACAGCAGGCTGGAGTGGAGCCCTGTCCTCGGGAGCAGGGACATCCCACGGGTGCTGTGCCCCACTTTGGGCTGAGTTTGAGGACACGAGAGGCTGAGAGACACGGCTGGGATGTGACAGACGGAGCTGTGCACCCCGACACAATTCCAGGAACATTCAGCTTGGAAAAGACCTCCAGGACCGAATCCAAGCTGTGCCCCATCCCCACCTTGTCCCAGCCCAGAGCTCTGAGCGCCACATCCAGCCCTTCCTTGGACACCTCCGGGGATGGGGACTCCAACCCTCCCTGGGCAGCCCCTGCCGATATCTGAGCACCTTTTCCATGGAGAAATTCCCCTGAATTCTTCCCAACACGTGTCTCCAGTTGTGCCCACAGAGCAGCGTGTCCCCACACCATTCCAGGGCGGTGGCACCGCTCTGGCACCGCTGGCACCACTGGTTTGTTCCTCCAGCCCCCGGTGTCCCTCGGAACAACGGCTGTGCCTGGAGGTGGAGGTGGGAGCTGCCAGAGGGAACAGGAGACACGACAGGACACGTTCACTGGAGATTCGGGGCACAAACTGCAGCAGGAATTGATTTCTCCCCCAGTTTACTGGAATTTCTCCCTCCAGTGCAGAGAAAGGTGGATTGCCCTCTCTGCCGTGTGCTGGGAGCATTTATCACTACCAGGGGCAGGAATATCTCCCCTGTCTCTCTCTATTTCCCTTTTTCTCCTCTTTCACTCTCATTTTCTCCTCGCTCAGATCTCCGTGCGGGGCCCCGGCGGCGCTGCCGGGAGCCGATCAATCCGCTCCTAACGCAGCTCCCCCGGCCCCATCCATCAGCCCGAGCATCCGGAGCTTCGTGGGCAATTTGGGGCCCAAACCAGCCCATTTGGAGGCTCTGTCATATTTTCTCCGTCTCTTCCCCTTTTGTTCCGTGTTTGTGGAGGACAAAGGCAGGCGCAGGCTGAGGGGGGAACAGGCAGAGCTGAATCCCAAGAAACAAAGCGCCTGTTTTCATGGAAATGTCCTGGAAAGGAGGCTGCAAATTTGGGGAAGGGGGAGCACAGGGCTGGGGAAAGGTCTAGGAGGGAGTTGAGTTCAGTGTTGGCATCGTGGTGTGGCCAGAGCAGGGAAAAGAAAGGATAACTGGGCTGGAAGTTTGCCTGCAGGCATCGGGCACTGTTTGAAGCCCTGGAATACAGATAAATTTTTTAATTAGGGATGGGTTGGGCTGGATCCTGCCCGGGCAGAGCATCCAGACGGGAGCCAGGAGCAGCAGCCGGATGGGGAGCGGCTCCTGCTTTGCCTCCAATTGTTTTGGGAGGGCTGGGAGGAGCTGGAGCCAGGGGGTGACACCCCAATGTCACCCCCTGTCCCCCTCAAAGGGGATCTGTCCTGGCTGGGGCACAGGAAGGCACGTGAGGTGCTGTGTCCCACCCCCGTGTGTCCCTCACATGTCCCCCCGATGTCCCCAGACCCAGCGGGGGTCACGGATAGTGACACCTGACACATCCAGGACCTGATGGGATGCAGACCCCCACCCATGGGAGAAGGGGATGTCGTGGGTGGGCCCACACCAGGGTCCTGGTGGGTGCTGGCACCACGGGACACGGAGCGGGCAGTGTGTGACACGGACGGGTGACATCCGTGGTGGCACCGCCGGGTGAGGAGGGAGCAGCTCCCTGTCACCCCTCTCGGCTCCAGCCGAATTTGGTGTCATCCTGCAGAGGAAGATTATGGTAATTTTCCTCCCCCCCTCACGCATAATTTTCCGACCGGGCTGCAGCAGCGGCTGTGGGAGAGGCTGGGTGATGGGAATGTCATCTGCGATTCCATTATCTCCTCCTGCCTCCCTGCTTTCTTTTTCCTTGTGAAACCTTCATCAAAATCTGTCGATCTAATTAGGACAATTACAGCGCGAGGACAGCTGAAACCCGCCCAGAGCCGCAGCGGCGAGAGGGGGCACCAGGCTTTGGGAGGGGCTTTGAAGGTTTTTTTGGGATTTGGCTCTGCAGGGGGACGGATGGGATCGGGGGGTCCCAGCCCCATGTCTTGTGGGGTGTTGGTTTTAGGGTGCACGGCCCCAAGAGGATGGAAGTGACCTCAGAGGTCCTGCCGGGGGACAGGGAGGCTGCACGTGCTGGTGACACCTCTGTGTCCCACCCCGCTGGCTGTCACCACCTGCGGGGGTCTCAGCACCTCTCTGGGGACAGCCGCCACCCCTGCCCGTGTCCCCCCGTCCCCGGTGGGTGCCGCTCGGCGAGGGGAGCCCCGTTCTCTGCAGCTCCCGGATCCTCATTGGTATTCCAGGGCCGCGCCGTGGCAGCTGGCTGGATGGGAGCGGAGTGACAGCGGTGACAGGTAACGCCAGGCTCGGCGGCAGCCGGCGGCTTGGCAGCCAGGCCACAGCTCCGCTGGCCACCCGGAGCCGTGTCCCCACCCCGGGATGTGCCCTGCTGGATGCTCCGGGATGGGGGAGCTGCTCCAGGGGGATGCTCCACCAGCCACGGGCACAGCGAGGGCAGAGCTCCATGTCCCCACGGTGGAATAAGCCATGGGAGCATGGGGAGAGCCCGGGGGATGGATGT